TTGACCGGAAACTATTAGTAACAACGTACTGTGGGAGAGAACAAAGCAGATCCCAGCGGAGGAAGAAATCAGGAAGAAGCGCTGGAAGTGGATAGGACACACATTGAGGAAAGCACCCAACTGTGTCACAAGACAAGCCCTCACATGGAATCCTCAAGGCCAAAGGAAAAGAGGAAGACCAAAGTGCACATTACTCCGGGGAATCGAGATAGACATGAGAAAAATGAACAAGAATTGAATGGGACTAGAGAAGGAGGCCCAGAACAGGGTGGGCTGGAGAATGCTAGTCGGCGGCCTATGCTCCATTAGGAGTAACAGGCATAAGTAAGTAAGTAAGTATGTAAAGAAGGATATTCAAAAACCATGAGTTTTATAAACTTAAACTCCTCTTTATCAGTAACATCCACGTGTAGCAGTTTTACTAGATTTTAATTGATTATTTCTTTAGATTCCTAATACTTTCGAATTTGACTTACTTCTTACTTACTTACGCCTGCTACTACTCGTAAAGGAGTATAGGCCAGCCACCAGCATTCTCCATCCAACCCTGTCCCAAGCAATCCTTTCCAACTCCTTCAGTTCCTATTCATCATTTTCATATCTGATTCTATTTCCCGACGTAATGTGTACTTTGCATTCTTCTTTTCCACCTTCCTTCAGGATTCCAAGTTAGGGCTTGCCTCGTGATGCAGTTTGATGATTTGCGTAATGTATGTCCTATCTATTTCCATCATTTTTCCCTAATTTCCTCTTCATCTGGAAGCTGATTTGTTCTCTCCCACAGAAGGCTGTTGTTGCTGATGGTATCCGGCCAGTGGATGTTGAATATCTTGTGTAGACAACCAATTATACATACTTATACCTTTTTGATGGTGTTTGTAGTAGTTTTTTCAAGTTTCAGCTCCATACAGTAGAACTAACTATCTTGAAGTTGGTATTGAAGATTGTGACTTTGATATTGGTTGAAAGTTGTTTTGAGTTCCATATGTTCTTCAATTGTACGAATGCGGTCCTTGCTTCGCTAATCCTTGCGTTTACGTCTGCGTCTGAACCTGCTTGTTCATCGATGATGCTTCCTAGGTATGTGAAGGATTCTAAATCTTCCAGAGTTTCGCCATCAACAGTGATTGGATTGCTGTTCTTCGCTTTGAATTTGAGGACGTTGGTTTTCTCCTTGTGTTTGTTAAGGTCTACTGTTGCAGAGACTGCTGCTACACTGGCTGTCTTTATCTGCATTTGTTCGTGTGTATGTGATAGGAGGGCTGGGTTATCTTTGAATTCCAAATCATCTAATTAGTTCTGAGTTGTGCATTGTATGCCGTGTTTTCCCTCAGATATCGAGGTCTTCATAATCCAGTCGACCAGCAGAAGAAAAAGGATGGGAGAGAGTAAACAGCCTTGTCTGACTCCGGTCGTTAATTGGAATGTATCTGTCAGCTGTCCTACACGTACGCTTACCAGAAAAATAATTCAAATTCGACATTAGGCATAAATTTACTATCGTCATTGAGGATGAATAACTATATCATCTCTTCTTTTTATGAGTAAATCAACATTGAAAAACAAACGAACAAACGAAGGAAACTATTTGATTCATTAAAAAAGGAAAAAAAATGAAAACTTTTCAGTGAAGACAATTTACTTTCCTGAAATGTCTTCATTCTTTATAAATCAATATTATTGAAGAGATCTTCAACTTCATATGTGCTAGATAAATGGGTATCCTTTCATACTAATGATCGTTTGTTGAGGTTTTGGTTATTATTTAATATTTTTCGTATAGTTTATATATATTAAAAGCATTTGTATTTTCAGTATGGTGAATTTGTTGTGTTTCATTACTTAAGAAACAACTCCTCCTGGAGTTCCTCTGGGGGCTACTGCCGGTCCCAAGTCTGGATACGGGAGGAGGGTTGGGCATGGGGTTAGCGATCCTATCCCGTAGGAAACTAACTCGCTAAACAAAACGCTAACCAGAAATTAAGAAACAGTTTAAAACTATGGAAAAATTCATATAAAATATGAACAAATAAGAGATGAAATTATAACAATTAGTCAAAGGCTTGACGACTAATCAATAGTTATAGATTATTGTTTAGATACTAATCATGGTGATAGTTTTCAATAGTCCAGTGAATCATTTATCATTGAATTCAAAGACAACCCATTGTGACTACATTCCAAAATTGTAGTGAAATTCAAAACTTCATTTGTGATGTGTTACATCCCGATAAGAATAATGAATGGTAACGTTTGGGATCCATTCATGGACCAATACTATACGTATATTTTTATCATATAATTGTTAAGTAACTAAACTATCCATATTCGTGTTGCTCTTATTATGAGCTTTATTTTGACCTATGAACTATTATTATACGATTTACTATTCTTGAATTATGCCCTGTCAATCAATTATTACCTCCCTCATTCACAGCCACATCTGGCTAATTCTTGTACAAATATTGTTTCATATTTTATTGGTACGTTGTGGTCTGTTTGATTGGTATATAAACTCAGCATGTTTGAAATATAAGGATTCATATTGCAGAGGCTGAGATTGGTGTTTTAGACTTAACTGGCTGGGCTAGACAGTAACCAGGACTGATAAACATTCTAGACTGTTCGGACGGGTTTTACGCGCTTTTGGTCCGATCTATATTTCGCTGCTTCTGATTTGCGGCTCTGGGCTATAACACAATATTTCGGTAGTTTGACTAGATGAACATTCATTACTGTATGAAAGCCAAAGTGTTTTTAAACGATATACAAATATAAAGATTAGTCTTATGAGTTGAAGTTTCAACATAACTGTTGGATGATAGTCGAAGTAACTACAAACATGCTTCACCGTCTATTCAAGAATTTTTGGAAGGAGGTACAAGTGCCGATATACTGGAAAGAAGGACACCTCATCAAAATTCCAAAGAAAGGAGACCTGAACAAATTAAAAAACCACAGAGGCATCACACTACTGTCAATACCAGGGAAAGTTTTTAACAGAGTGTTGCTGAACTGGATGAAAGATGCAGTAGACGCCCAACTTCGAGATCAACAAGCTGGATTCCGTAAGGATCCGTCGTGCACAGACCAAATGCGAAACTACGGATAATCGTCGTACAATCGAATGAGTGGAACTTTTCAATGTACATCAACTTCATTGACTACGAAAAGGTATTTCATAGTGTAGATAGGGGAACATTATGGTAACTTCTTCGACACTACGGAGTTCCTGAGAGATTTTCAACATTATCCGGAACTCATACGACGGATTACAGTGCAAGGTCGTGCATGATGGACAGATGACAGACGCATTCCAATTAAGGACCGGAGTCAGATAACGCTGTCTACTGTCTCCCTTCCTCTTTCTTCTGGTGGTCGACCGGATTATGAGGACCTCAACATCTGTAGGAAAACACGGAATACAATGGACAGCTCAGAACCAATTAGATGAGGACCGCATTCCTACAATTGAAGAACATATGGAACTCAAAACAACTTTCAACCAATATCAAAGTCACAATCTTCAATACCAACTTCAAGATAGTTAGTTCTACTGTATGGAGCTGAAACTTGAAAAAACTACTACAAACACCATCAAAAAGGTATAAGTATGTATAATTGGTTGTCTACACAAGATATTCAACATCCACTGGCCGGATACCATCAGCAACAACAGCCTTCTGTGGGAGAGAACAAATCAGCTTCCAGATGAAGAGGAAATTAGGGAAAAATGATGGAAATAGATAGGACATACATTACGCAAATCATCAAACTGCATCACGAGGCAAGCCCTAACTTGGAGTACTGAAGGAAGGTGGAAAAGAGGAATGCAAAGTACACATTACGTCGGGAAATAGAATCAGATATGAAAATGATGAATAGGAACTGGAAGGAGTTGGAAAGGATTGCTTGGGACAGGGTTGGGTAGAGAATGCTGGTGGCTGGCCTATACTCCTTTACGAGGAGTAACAGGCGTATGTAAGTAAGTAAGTTTGTTAAAGAATTCTCTATTTAACCACTATTATTTTCTCATAGTTGATATTTATGACTGATTTCATAAACATTCATTAACTATTTGAACGAATATTTCAATATTTCCTGTAGATTCTAATAGTCTGTAATTGTCTCCAATTACTTAGTTGATGACCACATTAGAGTTTAAAGCTATAGATACCAGATATCAACATCACTGTGAATATCAATATTTCGATAAAGGTAAAACTAAATGAAATGCTTGAATTAGAATACCTGCAATGAAAGAATAAAGAAATAAGTAGCAAAATCTTTTGTTTTAAATTAAAATTAAATAAATATCATATACTTAATTGGTTTTTATATTTTACCACCCCCCCTTTACAGTTTATTCATACTATATATATATATATATATATATATATATATATATATATATATATTATAGCTTAGTGTTGTTGTGAATATATTTCTTCTATGTTTCCTGTCTTTTTTTTGTACAGTCCTACTTGACGACAACAATAATTTATAACTACCAGTAATTAGAATTATGATTTCTTTAATGGGAATAAAAAAAACTCACAAGAACTGAGGGTTCTTACACCATTTCAGTAATATGTTTGTGTACACTTTTTATACCGAGAAAACATACAAACAAACAAACATGCTAATAACTTATTCAATAATGTTGACAAATCGGATTATGATTTACACGATTATTTTCGTTATTAATGACTTATTTACTTATGCGTGTTACTCCCAATGGAGAATAGACCCGCCGACCAGCATTCTTTAACACACTTTATCCTGGGTATTCTATTCTAGTTCTATTTAATTATTGTTCATTCTTCTCCCTAGTCTTCTTCTTCTCATGTTTGTCTGTTTCTATTCCTCGATGTAATATGTTCTTTGGTGTTCTTCTTCTTCGTCAATAATAATAATTTATAGCTGTCAAATTAGACAAACAAAAGAAAAAAACTTCAACTAAATTGAATATATATATATAATACGAATTTATTTTTCCCGGTTATAAAATTGAACGAATTTTCGCGGGAAAATAAACTTCATTTTACGTCTGCATATTTTAACATTATTCTTATTATTTACAATAGAAGATTAGTTTTATTAAGATAATCATTAAAATGAAGTATAGAATAAATGAATTTGATAGGAAAATGAATTTAACATTGAATATACTAATGATTATGATGATGATAAGGAATAATGATTCAACATTAATTAAGCATAAAACATTAATAAATAAAATAGATGGTAGTAATATGGAAATTGTATGTATATTGGATCATGATAATTATTGTACAGAACATCATGTGGGATTTTTGTAAGTTTATTGATTGTTCCAATGAACTTTATTTGATGAATACCTTATAATCTCATTTAGGTTGCTCTTGTTTACAGAATTACTCTTGAATATGTTTTATTTTCATTGATTTGAACACATAAATATTGGTATAAGGGGGGGAGGGCATCAAATATATATGCGCTACACCTTATTTGGTGGTAGCACTCATTTTTCAACCAGTCAGTAACTCGAGATCATTTAGATAGAACAGAGTTTCCACCATAGGTGAGATGCTGTATAAGTCGAAAAATAAGGGTACACAAAGTGGGAATAAAAGAGAGTGAATGAGTGACGTGGTAAATAATAATAATGTGAATTGTTTGACTGTTAATCGAAGCAACAATAGTATTTACCGTAAGTATCGTCATTTCATTCTGTTTGTGTGTGAGCTGTGATACTGCTCAGGTGCCCAGACGGAAGCAGGTGGTTTTCTTAGGGCGCCACACTCGGAGCCTTTGGCCTAAAGATCCGACCCACAAGGCAGTGGGGCATCGTGAGGAGATGCGGTCCCATGGTAGCCGGTGACCAACAATTAGTTCATACGCCATTTGTACCTTCAGGATACTGTAGCCCATGTGCACCATTGGTTTGAGATCCGGTTGAAACGTCAAACATTCACTTTCCGTCCTCTCAGTTTCGTAAGCAACAGCAATGTCACGAGGAGGCAGTGAGTAGGACTTCCCTGGTAGAGGCTGTATACGCGTGGCCGTGTAAGAGCATTTCTAGAGGGGGAGCGGGCCCACCCCATTCTCAGCCATACCAGGGCATTTGGGGGCCATAGAAGGACAGAAATGAAAGGTGATTTATGTGAAATCCACTTCTAGTCAAGTTGAAAGTTGCCAAATTCTTTCCGTGTACATAAGTTTCATCTCAGAGATAGAAAAACTATTTTAAAAAAAACACTTCATTTCTCTGAATGTATTAACATTTTGTATTATCAAATAGTTCTTAAGATAACCAAGTTCATCACATCCAAGTTTTGATCATTTGTAATTCATTAATATCATCATATTCATGTGTATGTCAATTTCTAATAGACAATTTGAATCTATACTTATACAATATAATTATATCTCAGAAAATTGTTGAAAATCACTCTTCAGTGTACTGAACGCTCCAACCACGCCTTTAAAGACTTTAAGAATGATTCAAGGTGAAGACGATCATCTAGACCCATTAGTGACCATAACATTCGATGTGAAGAATCATATACGATTTCCAATAACTGATAAATTTTTTAATTTTGCAAAAATCACATAACGACACAATTCCAATCAAATGCAATACATTAAGAGAGTTGAAAAATGTTGGCTTTTCAAGATTGCTATGTATGTTTAGAATAGTGGATATGGAGGTATAAGAAGTGGAGTGTTATAAATCAATGTTATTTGACAAATACTACACTTTATTTATTGTAACATTTCTTAATTAAAGATTTTTTATGATTTCATATTCACAAATAGAGACGTAATTACATATATCACTCCTATTAGAACAAATAGTTTTCTATGTTGAAAATGATGGTTAATTTGTTGATTGATCCTTTAAAGGAGAAGAACAACAAGATTGAAGGTAATGAAGATTTCTTAGATTACTTACTTACTTACGCCTGCTACTACTCGTAAAGGAGTATAGGCAAACGACCAGCATTCTCTACCCAACCCTGTCCCAAGCAATCCTTTCCAACTCCTTCCAGTTCCTATTCATCATTTTCATATCTGGTTCTATTTCCCGACGTAATGTGTACTTTGCATTCTCTTTTCCACCTTCCTTCAGGATTCCAAGTTAGGGCTTGCCTCGTGATGCAGTTTGATGATTTGCGTAATGTATGTCCTATCTATTTCCATCATTTTTCCCTAATTTCCTCTTCATCTGGAAGCTGATTTGTTCTCTCCCACAGAAGGCTGTTGTTGCTGATGGTATCCGGCCAGTGGATGTTGAATATCTTGTGTAGACAACCAATTATACATACTTATACCTTTTTGATGGTGTTTGTAGTAGTTTTTTCAAGTTTCAGCTCCATACAGTAGAACTAACTATCTTGAAGTTGGTATTGAAGATTGTGACTTTGATATTGGTTGAAAGTTGTTTTGAGTTCCATATGTTCTTCAATTGTACGAATGCGGTCCTTGCTTTGCCAATCCTCGCCTTTACATCTGCATCTGATTCTCCTTGTTCATCGATGATGCTTCCTAGGTATGTGAAGGATTCTAAATCTTCCAGAGTTTCGCCATCAAGAGTGATTGGATTGCTGTTCTCCGTGTTGTATTTGAGGACGTTGGTTTTCCCCAAGTGTATGTTGAGGTCTACTGATTCAAAGATTGCTGATTTCTTAAATGTTTCGTAGAAATCTTACTTATCTTTGCTTAGTCAATAAAAGATTATATTGAAGTCTTATTGAAAACATATTTCTAACGAATTATTGATTTTTTCTTCTTGAAATCATATAGATTTCATGATGGTTGCCGTAAATGTATGTGTAAAATAGATGGAGCTTATTGTACAAGTAAAGGATGTATGTATTATCAATTAACTGAAACAAATCCTGAAGATTATTGTAGAAAATTAGTTGAAATGGTAAATTACATGGATTATTGATTTTCAATGTTTATTTATGATTTGTTTAATCGTTTGTTGAAAGAGAAAAAACAATGTTCTGATGATAATAAAGATTTACTGAGTATTTTAAAATATGAAATCCTGTCGACATTCGTAACGGTATTCTTGTATGATGTCGTCTAATATTTTCATAACTAATGAATATCAAGTTTTATAAGACTAAGTTCTAACTGTAGTCCTATGTAGTCGGTTATGATGATCTCCAAGAGGTGGATTTAAATTTGAATAGTTGAGATCATGAGTCAATGGAAGCTAGACCATTATAGAAAACATTGAAGCATTGGACAACCGTTTCATACTATTGTGGGACTCTTCAGTAGTGAACAACCACGAACCCACCGAGCAGGATTCGAACCCAGGACCTATCACTCTCGCGCTTGATCATTAGACGACTAAACCAGCTAGCATCCAACGGTATTAATGTCTAACTTCAACTAATCCACAGAATCGAGCGACACATCAACCATAGTCATTAGTGAGTTAATATCTCACAGTAGACCCGATTGAACTTCACTAGTTACTACTTCTCAATAGAACTGATAGACAAAGAATAAAAAAATATTCAACAAATCATCATAATCAGACATGTGTGGTTCCAAATGAATTGCAGTCAATCGAATGGTTAACGTCAGAAATGCATACCAGTGGGCATCCACATAATGATATAAAATGGTCAAGTGCCTGTAAAGTTTACTATTTTACCAAGCAAGCGAGTCGTCTACAAAGATTCTCATATTCTACTCATTAGTAACGTGATAGATATAGATATACAGATATATATTCAACCAGATGCTTCCGAAGGGATAGAAAAAACATTCATATGATAATGGTCAGGTGAATGAGTATTTTAAGCATTTCCTGACTATTACGATGATCTGATGAGTAAATGTTAATTACCAAAGGGCTAAAGTTATTAATGTTTTGATAATTTACGATTGCGTTGTTGGAACTAAATTAATATTTTCTTGAATACTCTTTATCTAAATCAAAAGGTTGTATCAATTTACTTAGTGTAACTGTGCAATCTTTTTATCTAAAGTGTATAGGAAATTAAGTGATCAGTGAGTATTAATCACTGCACATGAGAACATTTCGAGGAATAACCAACTCTTAAATTTGATCTAGTCGTAAATCAGAACTTCTTGATTTGATCATATGTGTTCAATCATTTCTAAGAGAGAGTTTTAAATGGAATATGTTCAAAGTTAAATTAAACATCAATGTCAATGGTATGATTGGTAAGAATCAAATCTGACACTCAGGTCTTAATACCATTCCAAACTTAATGATCAACAAAACCCATACTTTCTAATCATCTTTTTATGAAATGAAACCTCATCATTTCTACATTTTTATGTAATCGTCTGGCTATATGTATGTTCTCTTGTTGGAAAACAAACTTTATTCCATTGCCAACTTGCACTTTTATGATTAGTTCATGTGGACAGGGGTGGGGGGTATACATCCATCATTATTCATTGTCGTGAGTAGACTTTTCACTTTACCACTTGCTATCATTATATATATATTAGCTAACTATCAGCAGCCTATTTATTCACTATGACAGTCTAAAACCTTCCTACATTCGTATCAAATATTCAAAATATATTCCCCAACAATACTTACTTCAAGGAATGACATCATCATATCCTGTCAATGCAGTGATGGTTTTATTCGTTGTATTTTGGTTATCTTAAATCAAGACTGAAATTGTTAGAAGATAACTCTTTGAATATTGTACTATCTCTTGAATATATTCTTGATCACAATAAATGTTTTATAACAAACTTTATTGCTTAATTATTATACTTAGTGTATATTCGGAATCTTTATGTGTGTACTTTTGAATTTCAGAATGAAAATGGTACTAGTACCCTATCTGAAAATAATAGAAATGAAAGTTCTATTAATTATAATATGACTTATATACATAAACCGGGTAATGAAACAGATGATGAAGCTAATAATAATAATAATAATGAGGATGAGAAGGAGGAGAATAATCAAAACAGAAAAATCAATAAATTAATTAACATATCAGAGGAAACGAATGAAAATGTAACCATATCTCCATTACCCACTGAAGAAAATGTTTTCACGGACAATGATACTGAAAAGATGAATTTCCGTCAGATCGTAAATAACACACCTAAACTGAACGAAGAAGTCGAAGAACAACTGTCTTCAGTTGATATCCATCGTCATAACAAAACAATAAATGAATCACTTCAGGTAACAATTAAAAATATCGAAAATAATTCTGTTTCTTTACCGATTACCAAAAATAATGTTACCGTAAAGAAAGATAATCCATCTTTAAACGTTGATAAGGCAATACATCATAAAGTAGCAAATCAAACTCATAAACTGCCTATTTTGACGAAAGATCAACGTCAAATTCAAAATGATACCAATTCTAGTTTATTCGAAGATGAACATTATTCAGCAGATTATGATAATGAAATAGAACTCGAAAGAAATAATACCTCCTTACCAATAAAGAATGAGAATGATTCCATTTCAACAAAAAAATCTAATAATGATGACAGTACTAAAAAAGAAATTAAATTACCTTTAGTTGATGAGACTATGCAAAATGACGAAACTTCAAATCAAAGTGATGAAGAAATAATCATAAAAAATATTAATCCAGTAATGAATCAATTAAGTGAAACATTGAACTCAGAAAATCCTGATTCATTTATAACGCCTGCTGAGAAAATTGTTAATAAAGACCTAATAAATGTAGTGATGGACAATAAAAATGTGACAAACAATCATTCAAATCATGCTCAAGATCGTAACGCTGAAACGAATGAAAAACATCAAAATGTCAAGCAAAATGTTGCCGCAGAAAAAGATATAATACAAAATAAGGAAAAGGAGAATAATAACATCAATGAAAGTTCATCCAATAAACAACCTGTCAATACGACTGATGCTAAACAACTGCATCACAATGTCTCAACTATAAATAAAGAGAAACATAAGCAACAATCTAATGCATCCACGCAAGACGATTCCAACAATTGGGTTTCTAGAGAAATTACTGTTAGTAGTAGAACAGTAAAACTTCCAAATGAAAAGTCAATGAAAAATATGCATGAAATGTTTCCTCATGGAGGCTTACCATTTCTTGAAGTTGAAGAAAAAGATACTCAAAGTTATGATGATACAATACATGGTAAACATTCTCCATCTAAAAGTCCTTTAAAATCTGTATCTTTTACTACTAATAATCATCATAATGATCAACTAATAGGAAGACTTGAAGAATTACTTAGAATGATCACTGATATAAAACATTACTTGGAAATGTTAAAACCATGCTTACCACAACCACAACCAAGACATCCTATGATAAAAATGCCGTTCCAGTCAAAACTACCACCTAAACACAAATTACTTGCTTTTTAACTTCAATTCTTAGAAAAAAGGTTCATATACTACTTAAATCTCTTGATTATTATTATACTCACTACTCATAACTGAATGGAGATTGATTTCTTAAACTTAATATTAACAACCAATAAAAGTAAAATAGAAATAATTTCCGATTTCTTTTCATTCGTTTAGTTTATTTGATTAAGAATTAAACAGTGAAAGTATCCAACTCAATTATTATCATATTTTTCTATTTAAGCTTCATTTAGAGGGGGTTTTTGTGGATATTCTAGTCATTTCAATGGTTAAGATCATGAGTTGGTTGAAGCTAGACCACCGTTGGAAACCTGAAAGCACTGGACGGCCGTTTTGTCCTATTGTGGAACTCTTCAGCAGTGCTCATCCACGATCTCGCCTCCCGCGAGATTCGAACCCAAGACCTATCGGTGAGACTATAATTTACGAACGACCTTTGAGCGATGATAAACTGACCTTGAGAGTGTCCACCACATAAGTAAGACCGAATGAGGGTTATAAATTAGTGTGAGGAATTCGAATTATGATTTATAGTTGATGATTAAGGTTAGAAATTAGATTTACGGTTTTCATTACAAACTGACATCAGCCATAATGCCAAGACTGTATTTATATAAATGGTGGAATGAATTTCGCGCCAAAATCCGATACCTGTTATCTTATACGTGATTGGTTCATCCATAACTTACAGTCTCGCCGTTGAAACTAACACGATATTTTTATCTTTAGATTTTATGTTTCGAGCGGTTTTATTCAATCATTAAATCTAGGTGGCATAAATTCAAGTTATTGAAAATCGGTTATATAAAGATTACAGAGTCATATGAATCAAGAGTGACAACCGACATGAAAATTAGGTTTAGAGTTTCCTTTCGATTGTCCACGGTTACCTTACATCAAAGAATAGAGTTTACAGTATAAAAGAGAAATCTTGATGGTGAAAGTACCATAATAACTAGTAACTGTGACAACATTGTTAGTTTTACTCATACTCTGTAGCGAAAATCTTCAAACAGAAGTCGTCAGTCACTTTTAATTAGTTTTAATGATAAGAATTTTAACTATGGCAACTAAAATTTATTATCAATCATATAATTCTATGAGAAGGAGTAAGTTGCCAAGCTTAATTTGCTTAGTAACAGTATTATACTGTTTGTGGTTATATATATGAAATGAGTTCTGATGAGAAGCCGTGACCAGTGGAGCTAATCCGTGTCGGATAGAAACAGGTGTCTACCTCAGTAAAATGTAAGATGGTCGCTCAACTTCGTGGATTGGTTGAGGTTAGACATTAATACCATTGGATGTCGGCTCAGTGGTCCAGTAGGTTAAGCGTTCATGCGAGAGACTGAAGGCCCTGGGTTCGAATCAATCGGTTCATGATCTCAATCAAAAACTTAACAATCTCCACAACCCCTAAACTGAAAAATCCAATTACTAAACCAAATTCGTTCTTTTCAGTTGGTTTAAATAGGAAAGTTTAGTTTTCTTAAGAAATTTACAGCTAATCGTCTTTCCGAAGTCTGTTCACTGAAAATGATCATTTAAGTTCATAGAATTTTCCGCACTTGTAAGTAAGAACAACAATCGTGGCAGACCGCTATGAATTCTCTTCAGCTGTTTACCATCTAAGATCAATAGTATTAGTTATTCAAAGAAAAATACATATACATATTTCATCTAAGAATGATTTTGAATATAATTGAGTTTATCATATAAACAGAGAATAATAAGAAACAATAATTGTGGATGAACTAAAGATTGTTGAAACACCTGGATAAAAACTATTTATTGGGATCAGCTGTGGTAGAAATCTCCGTGGCAAACCTAAATCAAGCACTGATCACATCGGCTATTAATTACAAGCTTATACTCATACTACCTCTACCACTGCGGGATTTGAATAGGCAACTGCATCTCTGTGCTGATATGGTATGGCAACTTGAACTGATGTACGTACGTACGTACGTACGTACGTACGAAGTTCTACGTGGTTACTGACTGACTGACTATTCATTGCAAAATATTGTACATTTATTTCGGGTTGTGAAAACTGGTCTAATTATGTCAGGTAGTATAAGATATTATGTAAAATAGCCTTGAACTTGGATTCCGTGCTAGTTGTCACTTATGAGAAAGGTTCATCTGTATAGTGATGATAAAAATCACATGTTATGGAATCCCATTAAACTCATCAATTCTGAACTTACAAGAACATAAACAGGAAAATTACCTGGACGGGTCAAAATATAAACTTTCTTAGTTTTGCCCCTCTGCAATACAAAAGGAACCTTGTTAAGACACTGCATCATAGAATCAAGACTGTATGCTCTGCGGATACTATTGAAGATGAAACAAAGTCATCATACATAACCCTGAGGGAAAATGGATATCCCGAGAAATTTATAAATAAAAACATAGCCAATAAAAAACAGCATGGACAATGCTCAACGGTAAATAAAAAGCCTCTGTATATACGCTTACAATTCAGAGGCGATTTACCAAGTGAAATGCCAAGAATTAAGTTAAGCAGATCAATTCAAACGACTTTAATGTGGGTAAACTACAACTAGTATTCTCCACACGACCAATAATCACTCCGAAGTTGAAAGATGAATTACCTAGACTAGCCACCTCCTTCTGTGTCTATCAATTCAACTGCTCCTTTGGAGCAAGTTATATTGGCAGACGTTCTAGGAATTTGTACATCCGAGCTCGTGAGCACCTCCCCGTGTGGTTAAGCTAAGGCGTAGTCAAAACTGTTAACAGCTCCATCTTAGACCATCTACTTCGAATAGAACATACAGCCAACACGGAGCAATCTTTTACAATAATCTATCGTGTCAATAACAGTCTACCTAATTCCGTCAGACTGCGAATCCTACAGACGGCTGAAGTAATTGCTGTTCGGATCAAAAAGTCGGAACTTTGTATCCAAAAGAAGTATGTTCAGTCACTCCTGGCCAACTTTGGGGCCAACTAGTTATTAATCAAGTACAAGAACAGGATTAAAGGAAACAAAGATTTCAAGGGTACAGAGAAGACAAAACTTTAAGAATCACACAAATACACACACATATACAGTACGGATATTGATATTCTGTAAAATCAGATACATTTAAATCGAATTGATGACAGTATGAAAAAATAAAGCATTAATGAAATAATGATTTTATGCAGCTGATGACATTATACTACTCATGAGTAACTAAAGTTAAATATTTCCTTTTAAGTTCTTCTCCAATCAAACAGTCAGAAAGTAGCCTTTTAATGGTTATTATAATTAATATTCATTCCCCATATACGACAATAGAACATAGTTGTGTAATATCATGGATTGATTGAAGTTTAAAATTATCACCTCCGGATACGTGCTCAGTGGTCCAAGAGTTAAACATTCACGCGAAAGATCGAAGTTCCCAGGTCTGAATTTCACATGCGGCGTCGTGGATGCACACTACTGAGAATTACAAAACTAGGACGAAATAGTCATCTAATGTTTACAACCACCATCAAAAAAGTACAGGTATTTGTATACAACTGTTTATACAAGATACGTCAGAATCATTGACCAGACACCATAAGTCATGATCGACTGTGACATCGCACAAAGCAGTTTCCAACTGAGGGGGAGGTGAGGAAAGGATACTGAAGATACACTACGGAAGTCATCAAACTGCATCACAAAGTGAGCATCAACTTGGAGTCCTCAAGATAAAAGAGAACGAGGTAGACCAATGAACAAATGGTGCAATGAATCAATAGCAGATATAAAAAGTATAAATATTGCTTAGCATTTTTGATCGATGACCTTTGTTCCAAAACGGCTAACAGGCTTAAGTATGTCTGAAATAGCGAATCAAATGATTAAAATATTTTAATGCAGTTCTGTGGCACACTTTCATATCTAAGCTTCGTACTTATTTAAACTCAACAGAAATGGTCTGTAGAAACCTCCCCAAAGTTAATACATTAATAAGTACTCAAATCATCAAGTATCATTGATAGAGAAGTTAATCTTAAGAAGTAAAGGTATTTTGGTACATTTGCACTAATCATAAAAGCTGAATACTTAACTTAGAGGTGAGACTAAAATGGACACTTTAAATGATATATATATTTAAATTGTTGGTTATTAGTCTTTTTAGTGTCAACTAAATAATGTGTTTAACGACATATCTAAATAATCTGCAACATAATAACGTATAAACAAAGATGGATAGTGACCAGCAGTGGAAACCAGCATACGTGTTTCGTTCTATTTGGGACTCGTATAGTTAGCATCGAATGAACAAGATTGAAGCTTGTGTTATTTCTGGTAGAAGATTCTTAAACACTATCATTTTATGCAAGAATGAACCACTTCATTTGTGATATTCAAATTTACTGTAATTGCTAACATGGAATTCAAATTGAATGAAATGTCAAATTCACTGTCTTATAGAGTTAGTTGTATTAGATCACTGTTATTAAATGCCTAGACAAATTGTTCTAACCTTTGAATAAATAAATTATCATAATCCTTCTATTTATCTTATCATTTATAATCCATTCATGTCAAATATTCACATGTAAAGCTGACCATGCTTTATACATTAATGTATGCTAGTGCTTATCTCTTATACCACTTTCATACTCATAAATATCAAGTTACCTATTACTCATTGAAACGACGACTACTACGACTAACACTCCAGTTCACATCCATGTTTTCTTTTTCATCTCTTATCATTTGCCTGAATGTTTGAAATAGATGCACTTTTGAATACTTTCCTATTCAAGTTTTAATATCTAATCTGTTAATAGCTTGATTTGTTGACACAATATAGAAGAAATGAAGAAAAGGATATCTATTTCATGATGAAAGGAATTATAGGATATAGAACAAAAAAAAAGGAAACTGTTATGCACTTGATTACAAACTTTCATTAAAAGTTCATTTTGAGAGAAAAAAAAACAACTTTAAGTTTATTTAACGTTTAATGAAAAACTTATTCATCATACAAAATTTAATCTTCCATCATATTCGTTGAAATGAATTCATTTCTCAAATTTGTCTATCTAGAATTCTTTTTTTTTTGTTTTTGAAAGAAAAGACTGACTCTTATAACACTACTTCTTATTTGAATTATTTTTTTCTGGTTAGC